CGGCTAGCGCAGATAGCCCTCGTGTAGCTTTGCGCGAAATTCAAAAACAAACAAACAAATTAGTGTAGAACATGTAAACAGGTCAAGACAATAAAACCATCGCAAGCCTGTGTTATTATTACCATTTCTGTATAAATATCATTTGCACTGTTCTTGTTAATTATTTACGTTTCTTGCACATAATTAATTCTTTTTGCATTGCACGTAGATTATTAGTGAGGTCTTGTATAAATATGATCTGTAATATACTTGATATTTACCAGCGTTTCTCGTATTACTTCTGTATTACACGTGGTTCATTACTGTATTACACGTTCTTCATTACTTTACCTGTCTCCCTAGGGCATCTTCCTGTTCGCTATGATTCATTATAAGGACTTAGAATGGGAGGATTACCAATATCCAAAGTGGTCCATAACTGTTGGTTGGCTGTTAACAGTTTCGTCCTTGTCATGTATCCCGATATATATGATATATCGCATCATAATTACACCTGGAACCTTCACCCAGGTAAGAAATATCATCTATTCAGTTTTTCATGGTCTGTAGTCCCAAATTAGCATATATTTTACAAACCACCGTCACATACACTACTTCCTTTCAGGTATGAGCTTTATTTTATATAGTATCGTGTTTTATCTCACCTTCAAGCTCCAATCCATGTAAGAAGCTGAGGAGGTGGGGGGGGGGGGGGTCCATATATATCATAAAAATTAGCCTCTTAGTGGGAGTCCTTATATACCAGGAGGTCAAGTGACTTTTAATCCATAAAAGTGCCCCCAGAGGACTGGAACTCCACAGAATGCCTCCACAAAGCGAATATTTAATATTTGGTCTCTCAGAAGGCGAATAATCCATACTGGGCTCAGTAGAGGATAGACAGTTAAGATTTGGTCCACCAAAGGGGGTGATAATGTAACAGTTGGTCATATTGATTGTAACAAATTATAATGTATTTTCATAAACATTTTGAATTACTTTATGGTTATGCTATAAATCTTTGTGTTTGATGAAGTCTTTAGATTATAAATGATATTTCTTATTTGGTTTTATATCATGCGATTACAAATGGCGTTATTAGTTTTTCATTTAAAATTAAGTAAATGTGCAATTTGACTAATTTTTGAGCGGCAAATTGCATACCCAGTCTTGCCCTTGGTGAAAGTCTACAAGTAAAAGTGATCTCTCAGTCCAAAATGGGCTTTCTTTTTGAGGCTCTTGTAATGCACTTTAAACGTCTTACCTTAGCATGTTTTTTTGTTTAAGAAGACTGCACTCCTCCGTCTTTATTCTCTTGGAAACATGAAAACACGCACAAATTGTCAAAAAATGGGCAAAATCTCCACGAGGATTTTCAATAGCGTTCATTCTTCAAGAAAATTGTAAAGCAGGTGAAGTGGATATGAAGTGAAGATGTGCAGCAGTCGAGTCGAGGAACTTAGCAAAAATGACAAAACAGTTGCGTCACTTCTTGTTTAAAGCAGTCCATTTTACAGTAGAGATGTGGTCAATATTTTTACTGTCTGAATTTTGTACATTTAATGCACGAAATTTAATAATCTTGAATTTTGCTTATACGGAAAACTATATTTTACATCAAGAAGTAAGAAATATCCCAAAAATATTTTAATTGTGAAATACTTCTCTAATTCAAGTTTTAGCGCTTATTTTCACCGTAATATAAACCGGAAGTTAAATGGTGTGAATGAGGAAAGAACGGGAAACTTTATTCTTTGCATTATACCTGGATATTTTATTACTGTATATTTTGGTTATGGTGGAAAAGAAGCCACAAAATGCTTGAAAATTTTATTTATAATCTTTAACTTGTAGAGCTGTATTGTGGTGTGAGTTTTGTTCAAACTCAACTATTTACAATAGCTACTGCAGTAACAATATAGTATTTATTCTATAAAATATTTTAATTTTTCAATATATGGGGAAATGTTTATATTAATTTGTTTTGCTTTAGGACTACTAAATTAGCATGTCAAGTTTGGTCTGGATCAGTCAACTCGTTCAGAAGGAAATGCGTCCATAGCCAGAAAGAAAGATTTCCTTGATATTAGATAGTTACCACGCTGGTATGCCTTTATAACGCATGTGTGAAGAACGCCTATACCCCAGTATTTATACACTAATCTGTTAATGGTATATAATTAAGTTCGATTATTTATTCGATGTATACGTGTCCCAGCCTATGACTACAGAAGTTGACGTCATAATTAACTTCGTTTTGGTCTCAGTTGCAAAACTTAATAAACAGTATTTATTACATCAGTTCTTCAAAACGATTATGGTCACTTTTCTAAATTGTAATTTCGTTTCAATACCTTTGCATCCAGTAATCTTACTATAAAAGTAATCCACTGTTTGTTTGTTTGTATTTGTTTTAGCATTCATCACCTAAGGCTGGCTGTCCAAAGGTGTACATGGTCTATTTTGTTTTAGGATTTCTATCCGATAAGGGGGTTAAACATATCCTGAAATAGAGCACATTTCCAGTTATTTTAGATACTTTTGGCCATGAATTTAAAAATACAAGTGCTAAATCAGCTAAATGAATCAATTAATACCTTCCACCAAGCAGGGTATATAATTATCATCTAATAAAGTCATTATGGATCTAATAAAAGGAAGGGGAACATTATCTATAACCGTCCTTTATATATCACATCTTCTATGTTTACAAAACGTTACTTTTGTAGAATATTTTGATTCATTTTGAAATGCAAACATAAAGCACTAGACCTTTATTCATACATTTTTATTTTAATGTATGTTTTGTGAATGGTGCTAATCGTCAGTTACGACTGTGTGAAACATTATACACAGTGTATATTTTGTTGGCGACGTCTACAATAACGTTTCAAACTGAATACAGTTTAAAACAGTCGTACAGGATGAGTAAATAAAACTCCATTTTTGTGTAAAAATGCAGTATTTGTTTTGTTACTGTAATATGTTTGCATAGATTATATATTTAGGGCTTGTACGTCTTATATAAAAATTAATTTAAACATGAAAACAGCGATATTCAAACTTGTATGTTAATTTGTAAGTTAAATTAATATATGAATAACCATGTAAGTAAACTATGAAAACACTCTACAAAAGAAAAAGTGCAAGATCTCCATGAAACATAAACATTATAATTTTTATGTTTATTATTGATTACATTAATACTGAAATATATATATATATAGTATATTACACGAGTATATTAATGGAGAACTCTTTATCCCACCCATTGGTTTGATTTTTGTCTTGAACTCTTTGTATCTTGATGTTTTTAGACCGGTTATTAAGTATTTACTAAAAATTGTTGTGAGAATGAAAAACACATTTTGAAGTCTACGTGGATTTGACCTGCATATAACACTAATATTTGTTATATACGTCTTTCCAGAGAGTGATTGATGCTTTCCAACCCGAGAAGCCCGGAGTAAATCAAGAACATGAGAGTCTACCAATCAACGCCTGTTACACAAGTGTATGAAGAAGCTACATGGACTTCATGTTGCTGTATAAAAACTAGTGCTCTGCTACTTAGCCTACTCTGTCCTTGAAGTCAGGTACAATTTATGTCGGTGAAATATGCATACATTTCATTTATTTGTGTTTGTTAGGCTTAACCCGATCATGGATATAAAACTTTGAGTTGTTTTCTGTTTTCACATACCATGCCATGTTGAACTATACAACAGCTTTAAATGCAGGTCGTTATATCAAATGTTCATTAGTTTAATAATAAAGTTGACAATATATTGTGTAAAATGTGTCACACCACACTGATATTAATTTGCTTAAAGAACGTTTCGAATTTTCTAAATATGCGAAGAACTTCTATTCTTGGTCATTTTTGTTTTTATGCTTTTGATACTTTATGATAAACGTACAATAAATGTTGGTTTCTTTTATTATTGTATGATATACATTGTTAAAATCTAAGAGGTGGTAAAACATTGTCAAATTAAGTAGGTGTATCATTCCCAGTTATCATTACAATTGTTAGTTTAGGAAAGTGCGTTACTTCCGGTTTTTTACCTCTGTTGTTTGATGAAACAGGGTCATCACATCCGGATTCTCACTACTACTATTAGTTTAGGAAAGTAGATTACTTCTGATTTTCACTATTGTTGTTGAATTAGGTAGGTATGTCGCTTCTAGTTTATCATCACTGTTGTTCCACTAGATAGGTGCATCACTTCCGATTTATCACCACTGTTGTTGGATTAGATAGGTGCATCACTTCCGGTATATCACCACTGTTGCTGGATTAGGTAGTGTGCCACTTTCGATATATCACAACTGTTGTTGGATTAGATAGGTTTATCAACACTGTTCTGGATTAGGCAGTGTGCCACTTTCGATATATCACCACTGTTGTTTGATGAAGCGTTTGTTATACCCGTTGTTTTCCCATTACTGTTTAAATGAGAGAGGCGTGTCACTCGGAAAACGCTATTGCCAATGGTGTGACTACAAAAAGGTGCCCCCCCCCCGTATAAAAATTAATTTACATTTATTCCCCTTGTCGGCAATTCTTAAGTTTTTCAGGCCCCTTTTGGCTCGAATCTTCCTGCAATTGCAGGGGCATACTTACGCTGCTGGCTGTTGCTGTTGCGAATTGAGAGTATAAGTCATTTTCGATATTATCTTCAATTTAAGCAAACATTTTACTTCCGGTAACTTGCATATAAATGTCACTTTCGTTGTGTGTTTAGAGAAAGTACAAATGTCGTTCTTGGTTCATGAGAGATGATACAAGATGCCTCTTCTCTATCACTGCTATTGGGATTAGGTGGGACATTTCTTTCCTTTCCAGAGTTAATAGGTTAAACAGATGCATCATTTCTGGTGGAAATCATATTTTGTAAAATGTGCAAATTATGTCACTTTTGTCTTTAATAGAAGTCTAACATACGCATGCCCTCTAGTAAGTAGATGTAATTGAATCGTTATCAAGAGATCGTATGCAGTAATGAAGTTCAACAGTGGTAACACTATAGTCAACAATCAGGTCACATGGTGGTAATCAAGTTAATCCCACTCTAGTAAGTAGTTATAATCGAATCGTTATCTCGCTGTAATATGCAGCAATGAAGTTCAACAGTGGTAAAACTATAGTCAACAATCAGGTCACTTGGTGGTAATCAAGTTAATCACACTCTAGTAAGTAGTTATAATCGAATCGTTATCTCGCTGTAATATGCAGCAATGAAGTTCAACAGTGGTAAAACTATAGTCAACAATCAGGTCACATGGTGGTAATCAAGTTAATCCCACTCTAGTAAGTAGTTATAATCGAATCGTTATCTCGCTGTAATATGCAGTAATGAAGTTCAACAGTGGTCAACAATCAGGTCACATGGTGGTAATCAAGTTAATCACACTCTAGTAAGTAGTTATAATCGAATCGTTATCTCGCTGTAATATGCAGCAATGAAGTTCAACAGTGGTAAAACTATAGTCAACAATCAGGTCACATGGTGGTAATCAAGTTAATCACACTCTAGTAAGTAGTTATAATCGAATCGTTATCTCGCGGTAATATGCAGTAATGAAGTTCAACAGTGGTAACACTATAGTCAACAATCAGGTCACATGGTGGTAATCAAGTTAATCACGCTGGTGAGTGATCACATATCAGTTTACAACACAGTATTAAGTTACTTAATGGTCATAATGTCGTTCCTTAAGTAAATATTGCAGGTAACTGTATCTCTGTAGCTATGAGCTGCGAAAGTAGTAAACGATTTGGATTGAGAGTGTTTTGTTGTCAACAATGTTTAAATGTATCAGTAAAATTAAGTATTTAAAACAAATTATTCAGTAATGTTGCACAATACAGGAATTGTATCACAGTTTTGATTGTTTATCTTTATAATATTTACATTTAATAACTTTTGTATGTCTTGAAGACAAACGTTTTCGTTTTTTACCATGTAATACGATAATTAGGATAATATTCTTATAACTATGTTCTGGAGACAGATGTTCTCATTATGATATTTACCATACTCTACGATATCTACCATATTATTTTAACAACTTTGTTCTGGAAATAGATGTTATGTTGTCATTATAACATTTACAATGTTTTTCGTATCTAGCATACTATTTAATAACTTTTGTTTTGGAGACAGATATCGTCATTATAACATTTACCATGTTTTTGGTATCTAGCATACTATTTAATAACTTTTGTTTTGGAGACAGATGTCGTCATTATAACATTTACCATGTTTTTTGGTATTTAGCGTAATATTGTAATAACTTTTGTTTTGGAGACAGATGTCGTCATTATAACATTTACCATGTTTTTTGGTATTTAGCGTAATATTGTAATAACTTTTGTTTTGGATACAGATGTCGTCATTATAACATTTACAATGTTTTTCGTATCTAGCATACTATTTAATAACTTTTGTTTTGGAGACAGATGTCGTCATTAAAACATTTACCATGTTTTTTGGTATTTAGCGTAATATTGTAATAACTTGTTTTGGAGACAGATGTCGTCATTATAACATTTACCATGTTTTATGGTATTTAGCGTAATATTGTAATAACTTTCGTACGTTCTAGAGACTAATGTCTCTGTTTATTATGCCCTACAATATTTAGTACAGCACGGAAGAAGCTATTGGACGCACCCTAGACAAACCTTCTAAAACTAATTATGTTGTATAATGGAACAAAAAATGTTTTCTTATTACAAGTTTATTTAAGTTAATTATACAAACTGTAACAAGAACAGTAAGTGAGGGTGAATTGTTTTTGTCAACTGTTTCAAACCAGTTGGATTGTATATCCACTTGTTTAATTATATCTTAAGTCCAAACAGATGTGTTAGAAGTTTATTTTGTATTTAATACAATACGTTATTTCTTTTTCATTTTATTATGTAAACTTAATGGAATTGTTTAAATATGGTTAAATAAATGGTTATCTTCAATGGATTAATGTAGTAATGTTGATTTTCATTTCTAACTTCCAGCCGTTTAAGAAACGCAAACATCTTGAAATATCGTTGAAACTGGATTATCATCATGAGCAAGATAAAACTTTAAATCTATCGCATTCTGGTATCCTTGAGGTAAATGTTAGATCATGAGTACTACTGCACCAATAGTAACATTAAGGACACAATATTTCAAAGATTAATTAGATGTGACAACTAATAGTATTAAACATCACTCAGGTCATTAATGGTTCGTCTGTAGTGAGTAGAGCACAGATAGCCAATTGTGTAGCTTTGTGCTTAACTACAAACAGTCAGGCAGTTGTCTGTGGTAGAGACAACTGACATATGTAAGGTAATGTTCTCTCTTGCTGGGCGGATTCTTATGGATTATTCAGTTTAAAAAATACGAAAGTCTAGTCCACTTAATGATAACGAAAGCGTTTTATTTCTCCGACTACTAGTTCTACAAATTAGTTTAACTAATGTTCGCTGATAGGCCTAATTTCAATAACCGTTAATAATAATACTACATGTACTTCCGCAAGGTCCCCGAAAGTGTTTTGTTTCAAGAGTAAATAAAACCAAAATTAAGAGCAACAAAT